GCTGGCTGGACCATGCTTTTGCATTGCAGGTGACTCTACAAAGCCACACTAATGATTGTAAGATGAGAGGTGTGTGAGACAGGACACCCCCTAGCACAGAGCATGTCCGGTTCGTGTGCTGGAGAGAAAGTCGGTTAGTAACATAGTGAAGTGCTTTAAAGCTGTAGCGCGCCTGTAGACTTGCATGTGTTTGCTTAAGTGCATCCCGTGAAAGGGTGAGGAAGATATTTAGATATATTTAGGTCAGTATGTTGGACGATCAAGGCGTTTGAAGGACCTGCCTTTTCCAGCTAAATTTATTCCCAAGAAGGAGGAGGCTTGTATACAGGATGCAAACGGTTCAGGAGCAGAAGGTTCTCTGGGCAGACGCCCATTAGAAGGAGGAGGTTTGTAACAAGGAGACCCCTGCTAGGACTATCTTTCAATCGAACATATTTGGTCAGGGTGTATAGGCTATATATCTTGCATGATTTTTTGCGGTTCTTTCAACAGCGAAATTGGAATACAAAAGGGGTTTCTGACATGTCTTTTTGGGTTGGGGTGGGAGTGAATCGTACATAAGGTCTTGAAGGAGGTACATTGTAACAAAGGAAGGTTTATGTTGTATCAAGTGTCAAGGAATTCTTACGAACGGCGAGGCCTTTACAAGAAGCACACTACAGGCGTGGCTTCTGGGCAATGCCAATGCTCAAGTAAGGCAGGAGTGTAAAGGAGGGTGGTGGGCCTTTTGCGACTGCTCTTGATGAATATTGGCTTGCAACATAGGGGCATTTGCAAATAAAGATAAAATCCAAAGAAACCAATCATGTTGCATAGGAGGCGATTTTTGAGACAGGATGCCGCTGCATTGTACTGTAAATCCAGATGCCTTTGAAGGGTGGAGATTTTACCACTTACAATTGAGGTAAGGTAACATTTACCTAGGTTGAGTTCAATGATGCAGATTGTTTTTCCTTGGTTGCGTGCCAAAGGTGCGCCCGACCTTGATCCTTGCGAAACAGACAGTGCTCGAACTGCGCTCTGCTCTGAGAGGCTGCGAGGGTCATTGGGCCATGTGGGCTCGATGTGGTTGCACAAAGCATCTTTGCCGAGCCTCAGCTCGGAAAGGTAAGACAAAGCTCTAATCAGCGGTGCTTTCTTCTTACTTTGCTGGCCAAACCGCAATTTGGCAGTCTTGGATGACATCAGCAGTATAAAGGGCTTGACAGTGGGCTTGACATATTTCTACACTTATATCGTCATTATTATCGTTTCTGCTCCATCAGGACCCCAGCTACAGACTCTGCAAATTGATCCGTTTGTCACTGAAATTATTTGGCCCTGCTGAGCCAAGACTTCACATCCTTTTCAATAGAAGTTGATGCGACTTTGATACAGTTGCAAGCTATCAAACTTCAAGGTTCCTTCACAGCTTAAGGCTGTGTGATGCGGTCGTGTCCTGCAGCAATTCATGACTTTGCCGTCGGTCCCTTCCGATGAAAGACCTGATCCGAATCCGCAAAGCGAGCAAGGTAGTTGCAGATATGTTGCAAATCGCTTCATCAGGCAAATGTGTTTTGTCTTTTCTGTAAGCCACTGGGTGTTTTGTTGTTTGGAATTTCTTTGGCCTCCAAGTGATGCAGCCGTTGGCGTCTCAGTGTGACCGGATACACGAGAGGCAGAGATGGGAATGAGATTCCAGCAAGAGGCCAGGTGATCCCTGGAAAATCCCAAGAGTCACTACAATCATCTACAATCCACCTAAGAACTCCGTTTATTTGCAACTTCATCATCGGGGTCCGCATTTTTGCTGTGAGGTCATGTTCCGCGCGGGGGGGGGGCACATGTACTGTAGCATCAACCAAATCTGCGAGTGTTTGGACTCTGGACGAACCCATGTGCCGCAAAAATGCATGCGACGCAGCAAGCTGCGCGACTTTGGCAACCGCTTCGGACTGGCCGGGGGCTTCAAAGCTTCGGACTTCTCTTGTCCAGATCTATGAGAGACGCACCGAGTAAAGCCTAAGTATACAAAACGCCCAGTCCGAGGCGTTTCAGGAAGAGATCCATTTTTTGGAATGCTTTTTCATCCAATGACCTTAATTTTGGTAGAACCTCTGCCACGTTTTGGGCCAAATGGTGATGCCAGTATTGGCATCCTTTAGGGGGGGTAGGCCTGTGAAAAGTTGGGCGCGTGCTGGTTCATACATTTGGGGTGCCACACCCTGTACATCTTGCCCGTTGTTCGCTTGACCTTTGCCTGATTTGGTATGCAGTGCATCTTGACTGGAAAGCTCCTGTAATTTGGAAGCCTACCAACAGCTCGTGATGGTAAAATGCTTTGGGACTTCCCCGTTGTTGTCATGATGCTTTTGACTCTGCTCAACCAGCACAGCGTGGTGAACACCAACCCAACCAATCTTCGAGGCAACATCTGTAAGACCTTTGTCGTAACCATGACCAAAAAGAACACTTGTTGCGCGCAATAACTGTTTGTGCAGCTTGGTGTTCTGTGCTTCTGGCGGACCACCGGTTTAAGTATCGGCAAGTTAAAACAGTGCAACGATGCCAGAAATTGGTGGTCATGGATGGCCACGGCTTTCTCCCTGGACTACGCTGGCTGGCCCATTTCTTTGTAGGGATGGTTCTTGCATACGGAGATCAATGATGGCCACACCTCCTGTGCTTTTCTGTGGCATCAAAGGCTCCAGCTTCTTCTTTTGCGTGAGCCCATTCCATAGTTGCTCGTCCCACTACACTTGGCACATGAGGTGAAGGGCTTTGAGAGCGAGGGCAGGGTCTACGCAACGTGCTACTCCCAGTCTCAGCCGTGCGAGCCAACAGGTAAGGTCTCAGACAGGATGCGTCAGGACAAAGGCTTTGTGAAGACCAGCTGCATGTGAATGGTTTCACTGAGTTGAGAAGAGCATAGAAGGACAAATGGCTTAAGTGGCTTGAGGTTGGATAACTCATCAGAGTGGATGCCCCTTCAATTCCTACTGGCCTGATTGCCACCAGCATTTTCTCTGAGAGCGTCTAAGAAAAAACCTTTCGTTGGCCAAGGTAGCCCTTTTGTACCGCCGGAAATTTTCTAAAAGCTCAACTATTCTTGCATTTCGGCAGGCGCTGGAAGACCCCTACATTAGGAAAAGCCAGCAAAAAGCGCCAGATTCTCACTGATTTGTGTGCATAGTGCGGTTATATGTTCTGATAGAATGTACTCGAACATGTCAGTCGAACAAGAGCGTCCATGATGTAGGACCCACAGCCAGATTGTTCTGTTTTGCTCGTCCCCTGGATTGTTTACAGAGTGGTTCGACATGTTCGAAGGGGTGGCTTTTCTTTTGAAACGAGTTTTTCGTTGGAACTTCCAAAGTTGATGGTCACATCTTCAGCGAAGGTCCAGGGGCCAAAAGGAGGGGTTCTTTCCTCTTGAGCAGCAAACAAAGAGCCAACTTTGAAGCCTTTTTGCGAGCTGGCTCATGGGTTGCAGCTTTGTCGAACCCGCAGTTCCTGGAACTCTGTCTTCTGCCCAGGGGAGTTGAAAGACGTCCTGAAGGTAGCAAACCGTCAGCCCAGAGTACCCCTGGTGATATTTACATATGAGGCACCGTCAAACATTTACGGACCCGGAAGTCTACACATGTAAAGAGAGGGACATGGGATCTCAAAACACACGTTCCAGCTGAAAAACGACAATACACCCACCAAACCACCGTAACACAGCCTAAAAAATGATCACACACTCACCAATTCTTGATGCCCCTTGATTTAGCAAGTAATTTTGGACAGTGGCTCATACATATAAGCTTTGTGCACCAACAGTTTTGCACTTGCTTGCCCCCAAAAATGTCTTTAAGCCCCGGGGTGGAGGTCCAGCAATGGTACGTTTGATGTGAGCGGCTGCAGCAATTATCATGGCGTTGATTTGTCTTATTGAGGTTCTTTGGACCCTGACGATTTGGACACCTGGAGTTCCAGGCTGGGAACAATTTTCCCGTTCAACAATGACCTTGCCATGAGAGAAGGCACTTGGGCAGCAATGAAGAGCATGTTCAATGATAAAACTATGCTGAACTTGGGCCCCTAGCATGAGACAGGTTGAATGTGGTCAAGTCGGCGGTTTGCTCAGATTGCCCCAGCTTGCTTCAAATAAAGCGATGCAAGGCACTCCTTGGAATTGTTTATGAGACGCAGGCGGCAGTGAGTCCATCCATGTGCAGGAAGACGCCAATGAACATGACTCGGCACCCAAAAATCTGTGACGTGTGACGTGACGTAAAACTCTCCATGTTTTCACGCGTCCACCGAGATGAGATGACCGCACTTCCAAAAGCTCACCGGTCACTTCACCGAGCCCGACTCATCTTTTGAGCAAAAAGATTGGCACAGCAGCAGCCAGCACTCGGGGGGGGTTGTCGGAGCGACCGAATGGCTTTCTCCGACTTTCTCCTTTTCAGATCTTTTCAGAGGACTTGGGGATTGGTGGCAGAAATCAAGACATGTCAAAACCATTTAACACTTGGGCACTTAATCTTCTTGATCCAACCCACTGAGGTGAACGTGTACGTTCGGCCAGAGGGATGTTGAATTTTACATGTAGTGTCCCGAGTCATGTAAGATTCCTGCGCGTGAGGGTACTCGTTCCATCCCACAAGTCGGGCCAGTGAGCAAGCTTTTCGGTGTGCGATACCCCCCCCCCTTTTCCATAGGAAGTTGATGGATGCAGGGGATGGTGACGTGCCTGGCATTTTTCACACGTCCTCACCCTACATCGATGGTTCGAAGCAAACCTGCCCAACAGTCGACCAGATGGGCGGGTTTGCCTATCCGGTTCTGGCCTGTGGCCCACATTCCATGCCCAGAATTCAATCCTGGCCTTTTCAGCAATGGGAAATCCAGCCTTTACAGCCTGTCAACCAACGGGATGTTCCACTGCGACCACAAAACTGTCAAACCGCCTCTGGAGGAGCAAGAAAGGTGGATGAGCTGATACCCCCAGGGGCCCCGTCTTCTGCCAGGCAGATGAGGCCGAGTGGGGAGCTCAGAGACCCCAACAAGCGGGGCAGATGGTGTTTTCGGCACACCCCAAGAGGTTCACTGATTGAGGCTGAACAATGATGTAAGGGAGCCCATGGATATGAATAATGGATGCCTCCTTGAAGGTTTAAGTGGCCTTCGTCGTTGATCTCCGTGTTGAAGCAAGGAATTTCCCATCAGCTTGCAAGCAGTGGTGGTGATCCATCGCTCAACCTCACTCAAGACTAGATACCGTATAGGTTTGTATAGCTGGTGCATGCCACTCCATTTCAATATCTGGTGCATGCCACTCCACCCAGGAAGCCTCATGCACTCCCAGATGGTGCATGGTTTATCCTTTATCATGGCTTCCTCGCCTCAGATCCCTGTAATTATGGTGGGTATTTCTTTGATTCTTTTGACGAACTACTTGGTCGAACACGCAAGATCGGCTTCGTGTTCTAGTGTTCTAAAGATAACCCTGGTTTTCTTGCTTCACTTGTGCGGCCGTTGCGCTCGCAGGCGCTCCGAGCGGTCCCCGACACCGCTGGCCGATCGGACGTGAAAAAGAACCGCCGGGTCCGCGATTCGCGGTGGTCGGAGAGCGATCGGGGCACGGATCTCAGTGGAACAAATTAATGGAAGAGCCCTCCAAATGAAATCCGTGTCCAAACCAAACTAGATTTGGAGCCTTTGTTCTTTTTTTATGGGCTCGGCACTCGGATCTTGTTTGGGTCTGTGTTTAAAAGGCGTCGATCAAACATTTGAGCCTCTTGGGCCTCACGGGTTTCTTCGCAGCTCGCAGGCGAAGGGATGCCGTGGCTGCTGCGTTGGCTCCTTGCTGCCAGTCGAGTCGGTCTGGGTCGGTGTAGGTCATGGGACCCCTTACCCTACCCGTCGTCGTCGTGGATGGCACCACCACCTCTTTGTATGGTCTTCGGGGCCATGGCGTCCACGTCCATGATTCCAGGAAGTGATTGCAGAGACCAAGTGGAGGGAGTTTTGTTGAAGAATGCAGGCAGAGGAGGTGTTTGATGTGATACTAGGGTTCTGGCAACCAGAGTGGCATGACTGCTTCCCTCCCTTTCCGCAAGAGTTGTCTCGTGTCTGAGAAAATGCCACAAAGGAGTGTATCCACTGCCTGGAACTACGACAGTAGGTAACATGGAAGTGGAACATGGCCCCTCAGACGACCAGGTTCCTCGACAAACCAGTTTTTTTTCCACTGGCCAGGTGAGAAACTCAGGGATTTTAAGGATCCTTTGGCCGGGACATTCTGGGGAAAATAACATGGGACAAGCCCCCTTAGGGCTTGTCCGAACCGCACCTTGAGGCCAATGGGGGGGGTCTTCGCGGCTCGGGGCTCAGCTCAGTGGAACGGCTTCGCAGGTGAAAACCGTCCCGCCGAAAACACCGGTGGGGATGGTGTTGCGTTTTCGCTACCATCATGAAGCAATTCCTAAGGTCCGAATTGGAGTCGACAGGGGTGAAAAGCACCAGCCAGCACCACGGAAAGGGTGGTTTCTAGACACCCCTGACTCGGTATTTTCCTTCCAATCACATTGGTCCTTGGATTTGCGTCTCCACTCCACCGCTTTTCTCGGAAACTTGGTGTGACTCTGTGAGTCAATTGATTCGATGGTCAGACAGTGTGGACCCGGACAGTCTGTCAACCAAGCTAGCAAACATCACCAGAAACATTAGGGTATCCCAGACGCTCAGGCCTTTTCATGTGTTCTATCAGAAGACTCGACTCGATCATGTTCTATCCAATCTCGTTGGGACCCGTGAAGCCCTTTTGGTCGGCACTGCAGAAAACACCGAAGTTAGCAAGTCTTCCAAGAGCGACCACCTCCAAAGATCAAGCCTGTCCTCTCAATGAGCTGATGGTCCGCTATGTCCGCTAAACAGCCGCTACTACCGTCAAAAAAGTATACCACCCAAAACTTCAAGTTCCGTCGAAATGGAGGAGATCCCCAAATCGCCCCTCACCAATGACGAGAAAATCCCTTACCAATGTCGTCCGGGAAGGAACTTCCTGCGTCAGTAACATCACACAACTTCTGAAAAACAAGTAGCTTGCATGCGAGGAATATGGACGCCATCCCCACACAAGCAACTGACACTTCAAAGACTTCAAGCGGGTTATGAGATCAAGCGGGTTTATGAGATCAGCTTCCGATCATGATGTTTGCAATCCGCAACACGCTTGTTTGAAGTAGGAGTCCGAGCGTAAGATCGATCAATCTTTGGAATTCTTTAAAGAACAGTTTTGTTTTGGTGCCGCAAGCAAATGTAAACTTCTTTGCGGCACTTTGGAAACCAATAATTTTGTTAATTGAGTCTGGCCCAAACAGCCCGCCCAAAAAAGACTTCATGGTTCAAACTCGGATACTTAATCAACCACCCGATTTTTTAGCAACGACCTCATCTGAAATCTCGTTGATTTGCAGATCATCAAACTTGTGAGCTGGGCGCAAGATGTGCCTGGTAAATTTGGATAATCGCATGCCACCAATGCAAGTGAGTTCAAGTTGCCACAATCTGGTTGCTGGCCTTCATTGAAGAGATATTTGCGCACAGAACTTAGCCTGGAGTGACATCCTGCAAAAATGTTTGAGGATTGTTAGGGGCAAACAGTTCAGCTGTGTACAAGGACGCAGTAATATGAGGATTTCAATGCACTTTGCACTTGCATCATTCATACGCTGTTGTTGTCCACCAATATGCCCTGCAAAAAGAACACGACAGAGCCACCTGTCCACAGTTGTGTGGTTGAAGACCGCAATGCAGTCATTGTTCCAATGAACATCACACATGGAGACTGAATGTTCAATGTCCAATTCATTGGAGATCCTCTCATGAACCTTCACAAACAAACACTGAATGACGCTAATCAACCATGCATCCCCATGCGTCCTGGTAAGACTTAGTTTGGCACCTGTCAGGCACACACCTCGAGACCAAGGAAGACCATCCAAGAGAGGTTGAAAGACCCGAACGGGGACCTTATAGTGGTACTTATGGGATAATTAGGCTATGATAGGGTGGGGCTCCTCAACCTCTCTAGGTTGCCAATCGTGTGGATAGGTTCAGTACATCATTAAGGTGGTTTCCTGAAGGAATGGGCGGAATTCCGACCCTCTCAAATGCCAAAGCCCAACCAATGCCGAAAACTGAGGTGGACAAACCAGCAGGCCTCTGCCTGAGCCAGAAGGAACAGTTTCCGACCTCCCGTTGACCTGTGAAACACTCCGAAGACAATTTGCTTTGCAGACTCGCTTGGCGGGTGACTCTAGGTGGTGTTCACATGTCGGGGAGGGTCCTTACAGTGTGATGTCCCAATGGATTCTAACTGTTCAATTAGGGTGCGGAAGAAAAACCATAAGTATGTTTGTAACTGTAGAGCATGTAGAGCAGTCCCTCCATTGAGGTCCCACCAGCGCAGTCTTGCCGGCATGTTTCACACCTGGCATGTCTTGTGTGAGGATGGTGGTTCCAACATCTGCATCACTTGCAAGCAAAGCTTGAGGAATTGATGCAACTCAACCCCAGCTCGTTTCTATGCACAGAGCTGCCTTCAACCACCTGCATGTTGGAAAGGCAACGACTTGATGAAGTTCATGTGGGGTGGACATTGCCACTGAAACTAGCAGAGCAGTTGTTGGGGAAGCTTCACTTCTGGCAGAACATTTAGGACCATGACTCATATGTATCCCCAGATGGCCCCACTCTGTGCTTTGGTCCGCCAGGATGTCGTCGCAGGGGTGCTGGAAGCAGCCAGGTTCTCAGCCGTTCGGGGCCGGGTGAAGAGTGGGGTTCCTCCACTCTTCCCGGAACACACGAATTCACGGTCATGAGGATGCCCATCGGGCAGTCTATGCCAGGTACAGACATGCCATTGCAGCAGCCACTGGCTTCCAAACCGGTTTAGGCCAACGGTTGGAATGTCCAAGGCTGCCGCCCTTTCTGATGTGCGAGTCTTCGAAGGAAAGGACCTCGAGAACGTTTTGAATGAGTTGGAACGTGATCAATCCAGAGAATCACAGGCCCACCCTCTGAGACTTTCCGGCAGTTTCAGGATTTGGCATCGCGCAGCCCCCGCGGGCCCCTGAACGCGACAAACGGTGGGTGCCCTGCAACATCTCCATCCCTTTCCGCCGCATCTCATACGTAATTCCATGCCATTTCCTGCTTTTTGAGGTCCCAGTTCAACAGTTCGGGTGGTGACTGTAGGTGACCAAGAAGCTCAAGGTCAAGCTGGGCCATGGAGGGACCCTGGACCCCTTTGCCACTGGGGCTGGTGGCTCAGACCGTGGATCCTCCGGACCGACACAACGGACTGGGGAATCGTGCTCAAGTGGGAACGAGGTAGAATATGTTATATAATTGCTTTTATTGTATAATTGGTAATGAAGTATAACATATTCCAGGATATAACCCGTCATAATTAACTTTAATTAACTACATCATAATAAGGTGACATACAATATAGCTAGAAACTAGTATTATATGTTAAGATGGCACACTTCGAAAAGGGTTAGCTGGCGCATTGCCCGAACATGGTTTCCTTTGAGAATTGCAGGTGCATTCACGGTGGCTTTAGCCCATTCACGGCCATCTTTTGAACGGCGGATTCTGGATGCGCCACTGGCACCGACCGAAAGGTCTTGGTGCTTGGCCTTGGGCATGGCACAAGAATGTTGCCTCTGAGTTGCATTGGTGTCGGCCGTGTTTGCGACCCACGTCCGCTGTCACTCGGCCACCTGGAGACCTTTCTTGGGTGGACGATGGTGGATATATCGGTGCCGGTGCCTGGGGTATGTGTAAGATGGCGGACAGCATGATTCCAGTAAGGTGAAGGTGGTGTACAACAGGGGTGTGCTCAGAAGGGGTTGCAACCTGTCCTCGTGTTGCAGGCAAAAGTTCCTGCATGGTGGCAAGGAGTATGTGGCCACAGTTCAGATGGGGACTGAAACCGACACGCAGGACTGCCAACACTATCTGAAAAGTTCAACACTATTTGCTAAGACCTGCGCAGTAGATAGCAGAAATATGCAGAACCGCTAGGATTAGAGGTCCAAAGCCAAATCCTGCTGAATTTCCATTGTTCCATTTGTGCATGGTCACATGTAACGTTCCCCCGACCGCACGATTGACCCAAGAAGATCCACATCGTCGATCTCCAGGACTACACGGGCCACGCGCTGCGTCGGTGCCGCTTCGACCACGTGCGGCGCGAGGTACTGGAGGACCGGTCGCGGGTGCGTTCTGATGGTCCCATTGAAAGTGCGCAACGTTGGACCATGTAGAGGATACTGAAGAAGTCAACACAAGATACACGAGTTTTTCTTGTAAAGTAGATTTCGTTGTATTCAGGTGTCATCTCGTGCCATTCAGGTCCCGTGAGTTTTGATGTGTCCGTTCACGAAACAAATTGAACCAGTCGCTCGGCCGGCTGCCTTTTGTTTTTGTTCTAGCTTTCAAGCGCTGCTCCAGCCATTTTGCTGGTGAAGGCGGGTGAAATCGCTTGAGAAGTCCTTATGTTTGTTGGTCTTTTTGTGGTGAACTCACTGCACACACGCAGGTTGTGCATCTTGAATGGAGCGGTCTGTTTCCTAGATATCGGACGATATGGGATTGAAGGGAGTGGTTTGCTCAATATCCAGCGATGGCACCGACATGCTTTTTTCGCCTGCTTTCATCAGGCTCAAAGGTGGAAATCTAATGCCAGCTTGACTTAGTTATTACGTAGTTGTTTGTTCAACCCACTATATACTCAATATTACTCAATGCATAAGTCATCATAAGTCGTTGTATGTACCTCCGTGTTTTTGATAGGTTTTGGTTTGGGTGATCTCGGATGCCTTGGCCTTCATGGCTGCGAATGTCATTTTTAAGGCTAGGCAAGTGGCTAGGCGCTAAACTTTTTTATTGTTTGCGGAACACTATCAGAGAAGAGGAACAGTAAGCCGATGGCACGTCTTTACATGACAAATAGGACATTATAGAACAGATGTTGCAATGGCCGACAAGCGGCGACAGTTCATCAGATCTCTTTCCGCTTCAGATCCAGAAGCGGTGACACAGATCAAGCCAACGCCAAAGGCTTCAGTTGCTGTCCAATCCCCTTCAGCTAGCAGTTCCAAGCCAAATACTTTCGAGCCAAAGGACAGCAGTGCCAGACGGAGATACATTTCAGCTTTGGCGTCATCAAAGAAGCAACCGGAGGAGCAGCCAGCGTTTGAAGAGCCTTCTCTTCCAAAGGCGTCTTCGTGTGTGAGTTTCACACTGGAAAAGTTGGTAGAATTTCAGGATACATCGAGTGCAGTTTTGATGGGTGCATCTGACTCCAAAGCTCCTGTGAGAAAGCGGCCAAACTATGACGGCAGCAAGCGAAAACTGCATGCAACGATTCCAGACCGAGTTCCGTTTCTAGACATTGGAACCTATGGTGTAAGTTTGTTTCTTGAGGGGTTCAGATTGCTGTGCTTGTTCCATTGAGTTGGCTGTCTCTCCGACAGCTGTTGTGCTTCCTTATGACTGCTTTTGAGGTTTGGGCATCATGGTGCAGATGCGGGTCGGTTGTCTCGCTTGGCTGGATTGGATTCATGCCGGTGCCACAGGAGAAATTGCTTTCAGAAGCTGGCCTACATCATGGCCAGCCTGGTGCAATTCCTCCGGCTGTTTTGGTCTATGGCCAAACATGTGCAGGATGAGTTTCTTCGGCTGACCCTAGCTGGTGGGCAGAGCGATACCCGCAAGCCGTGGTTCTTGTTGGGGAAGCGCTTTGGGCCGAAATGTGTTCTGGCAATCCTGGGGGTTGGTAATGCCAGATTGGCGAGGGTGGAGCAAGGAAGATTCGATCGCAGGTTCCGTGTTTGGGGAGGTGTGCCTTCTTGGAGTTTAATTGAGTTTTCGAGCTTTCCAAACCCTAAGTTTAATTTGATACTTTTGTTTCCTTGCCCTTATGCTCAAGGAGTGTCGGGCTTTCCAAACAGTGCAGCATTTGCTTCCAAGGTGAAGAAGAGATCACCAGTGAAGACCCGGCTGATCAATCAGTTCTTTTTGTCTGTCTACGTGAAGAGCGCAGGCATGCTACCTGACAAGTGCCTTGATTGGCAATAGGGTGCCATGGAACTTGGTTGGCAATGGGGTGTCGTGCAACAGGAATACTCAACAAAAACAAGGGTCGCATCATCGCAACATGTACGACCGAGTAGTGAGTTTGTTGCCTCACATGTCAAGGTTGAAAATCATGAAAGCGTTGCGATTTGCTCCTTGCAGGTTTTGCCGAGCTGGTCGCCCGAGAAAGATGCAGCACGAAAAACTTCGAGTCGTGCTGGAGGCTTCCACCACTGCGTTATCTGGTGATGAAAGTTTCTTGCATTGAATTGAATGCAATGTCACAGAGCTGTACGGATTGTTGCTGTTTTTCTGGGTGCGTTAACCAATTGGCTGTCTATGTCATTCTGTGTCCATCAGGTGTCTGAGTGAAAGTGCCCTTGCAAGGGTGTATTTCAGTTGTTGCTCTGAGGCGACTCTGAAGCAGCAGACGAGGAGGTCGACCTCCACGTCCCTGCTGAAAGCATGGAAGCAGACGAAGAGCTAAAAATGCACTTACTCGGGCAAAATTCGTTTTTTACCCAGCCGATTGCTTAGACAGGGTGGCCTTGAGTTATGTGTGTATGTCGTGCTTAAGTTGTGAATCAAGATTCCAAAACCGATCAGTGATCTCGGCAGAAGAGTTGATGACCTGTTTCGGTTTGGCGCTGCGCTTGTGGCCTTCTCATTTTATGTGCTGGTCGCCCAGGGCGATCGAGTCGAATTTCGGCAGCGCTGTGCAGAACGATGGTTGTCACCTGGCAACTTGCGCATGCTGTTCCATCAATGGGGTCGAGAAGATGTGTCGCACTTCGACTGCAGAACTTTTTGACAGCTCAAGATAAACAGTTTGTTCTTTGCTTTTGGAATCTATCAGGTACCAGCAGTTTTGGCGGGTGTATGACACAGTTTGGAGACCCATTATGAAGTTCTTGCCACCGAGCACGCACGGCACGTGCGATGATTGCTGTGACTTCAAGGAGATGTTTAGGACAACTTCCGCCATTTGGCTGCTACTAGCGCCAGCTTGAATCATTAGTTTGGTTGGACTATGTTGGATTGTTGGATGGAGTTTAAGGGGTTGGGGCTTCAAGGTACTTTGCTGCTGTGATTGAGTGTGCGCTGAGGCAAAGGATATGCAAGGGCGCTTTGAGGTGGCCAAACTCTACCGTCAGCATGTGGATGCAGTCGCTGCCGACCGCGCTCTCGAAGAGTACTTGCAGGCCATGTCAACGGTTGCAAGGTCAGTGTTGGGCTCGGTTCATGTGCATGTCGATCCTATGCAATGCGAATGCCTCTTTGGTGGTTCACGCGCCAGGCCCAAAACCCGCTAGAGCACAGCGGAGATGCACTTTGCATCCACGTAGCGCCTTGACCGCCTCATTCGATGTACATGGCAGACCACCAGCAACTGTGAGTCTGGCTTGGGCTATCTAAGGATGGCATGGACCAAGCTAAGTGGTCAATACCAAGAAACCGTCATGTGAGGAGCACCAAGGCTGAAATGCCTTTACAAAAGCCTCGCTTTAAGATCCAAGGGGTTTGGAGACTTGGATGGGACATGATGAGATTATTGCCAGGAAACTTTGGATGTTTCAGCTGTGGCGCACATTGTCATGAAAATTGTTTCAAATCCACAGCTGTGCTGAGGATCTCCAACATTGTGCTGTTTCTTTGGGTGGTGAGTCCCAAGTGCGCGGGCGACGCTTCCATGGTCTTGGAGACCACACTGCGGAGCATAGATTTGGCTCTTGATATGTTGACGGCTCGCGGTGCTCCTCAACCACAGGAGATCCTGTGGTGGGTTCCTTGACGAGTTCATGGGAGGTCATGGGTGAAAGGAAGACCGTGGAAAACATGTTGATTTCCAACAGTTTCCAACCATCCGCGATTAAGGCAGACAACTGCGTGAGGGAGACGAAAAACCAGCATTGCCTGAAGCTGGCCGCATGGCTTTTGGCGAAAGGGAAGTGCCGTCTCGCTGCCTTGCTGTTCTCCCGCGTGGGGCACACCCACGGGAGCCTCGGAGCCTTGGGTTGAATGCAAAATTGCTCTAAAAGGATTAAAAGGATTGGCAGGAACATCCAGGAACATTTGTTCACCCAGTCAAGAGTTTCCAAATGTTTCCAACTTCTTGCGCGCTTTCGCTAAGATCAACTCTTCGGCCTGATCGCGACAGCTATGAGATACATAGACATATTATGTGACGAGGTTGATCTGGTTCAGAGACTTGTTTGGACTTGATGATGTTTGATGAATGATAGCAGAAGCTTTCCTTCAAATCATTTCTGGCTCGACAAGCGCATATATTAAATTTGTGCATGTGTGCTTGTAGGGCCTAACGTCCGTTCTGCTAAGCAGATGCATTCCAGGAAGTTGGAGTACATCGTTCACTCCATCGGGATCCAGTCCTGGCTGGGTCCCAATTGTGTTGTGAAAGTGGAATATGTGGACGGAATTCGTGATTGGAGATCTTGGTTGTCAAAGGCGCCTTGCACCTATTCAGGGGGATTGAAAGATGATTGTACAGGCCTTCATGCATACATCATGTTACGGCGGCAAGGCCTGGTTTGAACTAAACAATTTTGTCGCTGAAACAAATTTGTGTGTGTTGATTCAGCATGGGCCTTACAACGGGGCAAGCGTTTTTGTTTGCATATCGATCCCTGAAGATATTCCACGAAACATCAACATCGTCGCTGAAGGGCGTGCGGCGGGCCTGGAACTACATCCACGTGATACTGTAATGCTCCTCAAGAGATATGCAGCAGATGAAATGTTGGTGCAGGATGGAGGGTCAAAACACCATGACACTGATAAGTTATTGCAACTTTTCCCAACGCACCGGTGCTGTGTTGGCAGGAGCCCGTGCTGTGCTTTCCCTATAGATATGTACGGCTTTTGGGAGAGATTCCGAACACACCCCGACCTCTCAAGCGCATCAAGCAGCCCAAGAAAGTTGACTACTTGGCCTTGTCGCAACTCATACTCTCGAAGGCTCCGTGTGCAAGCTCGGCTAGGAGCGTAGAGTTCTTGGCACCTTGATTGATTTGTCGTGTTAGTTTTGATCTGTTGACAACATGGGACCCTTGGAAACAATGTGTTTCTGGGGGCACAAACTCTGCGTGACGGCGATAACCTTCGAAGC